AATTCTACTAAGCACTTGGAATTAAAGTAGAATTAAATAAGATTTAAAAAAGATAATTCAACTAGTGTGGTGACACACGATTGGTAAGGATCATACTTTCAGTCCAGCCCATGCAGAAAAGTCCGAGCATCTCCAGCTCAATGGGCATCATTGGGTACAACTGTCACCCCAGCTACAATAACAATTAAATCCACATTAAAATATGTGGATTGCAATTCAAGTGCATGCTGGGGTAGGAAATGAGTCTAAATAAAAAATAACTACAATAAAAACAGGCTGGAGTGTGCCTCCATAGTAAAATGTATGGCTAGTAAACAAGAAACCCTAAGTTCAAATCTTAGTACCACTAAACATTTTAAAAAAGAAGTTCAAATCCTAGTACCACTAAAAATTTTAAAAAAGGATTTACTCAAGAATACACCAATGGCTTTCAAAATTATTTTTTATTTCTTTGAGAAAGCGTCTTGTTAGGCTGGCCTTCAACTAGTCATCATTCTGCTTCAGCTTCCCAGATCCTGGAATTACTGGCATGTGCCACCATGCCTGACTTCTTTCATCTTTATTTGTCAATAGTTACATTTTTTTCTTAGATTTCTGCCTATTCTGAGCACTTTTAGAAGTTATAAGCCTTTGTTATAGGAGTTTATGTGCAACACACACATACTCACAAATACTGTCTGTTGTTTTGTTTTAATGAAGTATCATGAACTATTTAAAATTTGGTAATTATCCATTTCAACTATAATAAGACCTTTAGTGTATTTCCTTCTAATTCCCTTCTAATTATGTATTTCCTTCTAATCATGTATAGGAAACACTTTAAACAATGCATATATGTTGTCTTCTCATTAGGTACTAGGAAGTCCCCAAAGAAGTAGGATGCTAGGTAAATATCTCTGTTACCCTTGGTGTGCTCTCCCCCACAAGATGAAATTTACCTAAGCACAGATTTATCTCCATAGTTATTCTGCCAAGGCTGAGTCTTTTTGGCTTTAGGCCAATTTAGTATGATGTAAATGGCCTCGTCCATGACAACTTCATAGATGTTTTTCAGGGTCTGGCTGCAGGTGCTGTTCCCTTGTCTATGTTTTGGAATCTAATAGCTGGACACTTTTTCATATAGAGATTAAGATTTGGTCCCTTTGATTGGGATCACTTTACAATGGTGGCTGACAAAAATTTATGGACCTAGTCTCTGAGAAAGTAGCTTTGATCTGAATATATCCAGTCTCAATATTACAACTCTCCTTGGCCCACCTGGTAAATATTTGAATTTTAGAACCAAAGGGAGCTGTTAAGAGCTCAGCTAGTAAGTGATCTCTACAGATGAAATAAAGGATTCAGGGTTATGTAGCTCTAAAGTTTATCTATCCACCTATCCATCCATCAATCACACATGTCAAGAGTACCTTCTGGGGCTATAAAGTACAAAAATAGTCTCAGCACTCCTGAGCAACAAGTCTACTGACAGGGGAGAGTTGATCAATATTTACCACATCAGGCGTAACTTTATATCATAAAGCGACATTCAAAGGACTCTCAGTCCACCCCTTTGATGGTAGGTGAAGAATTAACAGAGGAAGCAACAGAGTTTTATTGTTAAAAAAAAAGAAAGAAAGAGTAATTACCAGGCGGACTAGGAGAGGAAGTGTCTTGGCAAAACAAATACAAGTCAGGGCGATGCTCAGTATATTTGTGTGACTAGCGTATAGAACTTGCCAGCCCGGGGTAGTGAGCAATGGCTGGGTCCAAGCTGTGATGGTAAGATCACTGGGTGACACATTCAGTCAGGACCAAGGTAGGCTCAGTGAGGAGTGAGCAAAGGGAGTGGAAGAGAAAACTACCAATTTCTCAGAGAGGAACTTCTATATCTATGATGCCCCAAAGCATAGTAACTTATGCAAAATATTTTTAAGGGAAAACTGTAAACCAGGAAGTGTGGGTTGTGAAATGGGAGAGGAACAAATGCTGAAATACTAATGTTACTAAGCAGGGGGTTCTGTGACAGCGCTGTTTAATGTTTTCCATCCATTCTCAGTAGGTTTCAGGCATCAATTTAACACATTCATTGAGTACATAACTTATGATAGGTACTGTTTGGTGCTTGTTTTTTTAATAAATTTTAATTTTCATACTGAGGATTTGCTATTCACTTCTAGACACTGGAAAGAAATCATAGAACTAAGCAGATGGTCTCTACCTATGTGGAGCCTACATTCCAGGAAAGGAGGGAGGAAGGAAATGGCGTAGAGGGTCTGGTTATAGTAAGCATAGAGAGTTGGATCAGGTCTAGACAAGACTAGAGAATGAAATAATCTAGGTGTGTGATACCTGATGGGTACTAAAGAGCAGAATACAAAATGTAATGGAATAAAATCTCCATAGAATAAAAAATCTAACAGAACTTGGAATGGAAGGGAGAGGGGGTGGTGTGTATGTGTGTTGGGGGAGCATCTTGAAGAGAGAAGTTGGATATCAGTAGAATTTTGTGAGCCCAGTATTGAATACCTATAGCATATTATGTGCTAGGTTTGGATGTTGTAAGTTTGTGATTTGATGATACCTCTGAGTGCAACTATTTCCTTATGTTCATTTTTTTTTTACCAAACTTTAGTGAGGTTCAGCCTCACCCGGGGAACATGACAGATCAAAGGTATAGGCCAGGCCACATTCCTTCAGCTAGTCTGGGCTTCTGTATGCCTGGATTAGCATACCAAGTAGTTCAGACCTCTTGAGTTGCAGGTCATGAGCTCCGATAACCAAAGGTAAAGGCAAAAAGGATTGAGCTAAGGAATGGGGGTGTATAGAACTTGAAAAAAGTTATTATTATTATTATTATCCATTCTTCAATCACACATGTCAAGAGTACCTGCTCCATATAACTTTTGGGGCTATAAAGTACAAGAATAGTTTCAGCACTCCTGAACTCCAAGTCTGCTGACAGAGGAGAGTTAATAATATTTACCACATCAGATGTAAACTTCATATCGTAAAGCGACATTCAAAGGACTCTCAGTCTACCCCTTTGATGATAAGTGAAGAATTAACAGAGGAAACAAGAGTTTTATTGTTGAAAGAAAGAGAGAAAGAAAGGAAAGAAAGAAAGGAAGGAAGGAAAGGAATGAAGGAAGGAAGGAAGAAAGAAAGAAAGAACAAAAGAAAGAAAGAAAGGAGGAAAGAAAGATAGAAAGAATAATTAGGTCAGGGGCCAGTGGTTCACCTGTGATCCTAGTTTACTCAGAGATCTGATGATGATTGTGGGTTGACAGGAAAGTCTGTGCAATTCTTATCTCCAATCAAGCAGCAAAATGCCAGAAGTGGAGCTTTGGTTCAAGTGGTAGGGTGCCAGTCTTGAATGAAGAATAAGAATGAGCCATAGAAGAACGCAAGACCCTGAGTTCCAATCCCAGTTCTAGAGCACACACACACACACACACACACACACACACACACACACACACGAAACTTAGGGGTGGACCAACCGTAGCATAATATAACATAAAGGGGAAGAGAAGAAGCCATAGAATTATGAGTGGTGGGGCAAATATGTCATTGACAGGAAAAGACAAGGAAGAGTGTGAAGGAGACACATGAATTATTCAGCTTAAGGGGAAATGGAGAGAGCTCAGTTTATCTTTGAATGAAAGGTTGGCTCTGTGGAGAATGGAGGCCTCAGGTTACCTTATAGCTGGCACTGGGCCTAGTACATAAAAGGTACATAATCAGTATGTTTTTTGAACAAATCAATGCATCCATGGATTACCAACAAGAAAGTTTTAGAAGAATACAAAGGAACAGCCATATCAAAGATAGTCTGAGGTCAAGACAGCTGAATCCTAAGAGATGGCTAATAGATCAAGTGGGTTGGAAGCAGTTTCTATACTTTGCTTCTGCAGTTATTAATAACACTCATCCTAATGTGTAATAACAAGAAGATACCTATACACATGTATGTCAGTGTGCTTGTGCACATATAAGTGTATGTTTGTACGCATGTATACATGCAACAGTATAGATATTTTCTGTATTGTATCTGCAGTGTTCTGTTGTTCTGTTGATGTCCAGGAGCTGCTTTCTCAGGTTGTAAGTCTATTAGAAAGTGTGTCTCAGAAGTCACATAGGTCATGCAGGGCTAACTGCAGGAGGCTGGGACATACACAAAGATAATGGTATACCAGAGACGTCTTTATCTCCAGCAAGCTGGATGATCCATTCACCACCCTCAGGTTTGCAGTGATTGTTCCCCAAGAATAGATATCATTTCTGGAGATTGCATAAAAATGTAAAATCCTATTTTAAGACCCATTTAAAGCTTTTTAATTCCCCACACACATTTCCTTTGAAAGGATAAACCTCTGTGTCACCAGGCAGAGATGCCAGTTAGTCAGCTCTCTGGATTCTGCAGGCTTGTAAACGAAACACCTAACTTTTCTTGTATTTTGAAATGTTCTGCCCAACTGGCTTTTAATACAGAGTCATCTATCCTTTCCTCATGGTTGCATGTGGTCTGTGGGGGACAGACTTCCTCTCAGAGAACAACCAATTACTGCTAATCGAAGATGTGTCCTTGCCTGTGGAGGTGAATGGCCATTGATGGAATCTACATTTAGATCTTCACAGTCGTTTTCATTGAGCTGGCTTTTAAGATTTCAACGACTCCCTTGTACTGTGAATGTGTGTAATGTGTGTATGCCAATTAAAAAACCCCCAAACAGAAGAGAAATAAAAGATTTCAACAGAGATGTTTCTTTGTCCCAATTGCTATTTGACATTGATTTTTTTTTTTTTTTCCGGCATCTGGTGATGGCTCTGAAGTTGTAACTTGAACAGGTGTAAGTATTTCTTTCCTCTGTTTCAGCTGAGAAGTGTTGAGAGTGAAATATTCACAGACATTAGGAGACATCCAATTGTGTTTCTCATCATGCTTATTCATAGTTCATATTAAGTCCTGACTACTGAAGGAACTGAACCAGCAGACTCTGTGGACCTCCTAGTGGGCCATGGTGGTAGTCATGGAGACTCAGGGTGCCCAGAACTTCTTCCAGCCGTTTTCTTCCTGGATATCCCGCGTTTATGAAGCTCTCCAGCATGCAGGAGATACATTATCTGCTTCACTGGTTCCTCTGAGCAAACAAGACTCTGCATTGAGTGACAAGCTGGACCAGGACATAGATGATATTCAAGAAATTTATTCTGAAGATGAAGAACCAGGACAAGACAATGACTGGAATCAAGAGCCTATAAATTCCTTGCTTCTTGAGGCGGATCATTTCTTATGTGATAGTGATGTGCAAGACTCTGTCCAAATGTCAAGCTCCAGCCTTAGCCAACATGCCAAAGACTCACGTTCTGTAAAATCCCAGGGGCCTTTTCAGATTCTGGAAGACCCAGGACTCCCACATGTGCTTGCTTCTGTTCCTGAGGAAGAGCAATGTCTTGAGGAAACAAGGAAGGACCTTCCAGGCTGCCTTGATGCCCAGCTTCCTGGCTCGCTAGAAAAAGTTAATGGAAAAAGGCAAGGTAAGCTAGCCAGTATCCTATTTTCTAGATTCATCCAGAGGTCATTTCTCCTTACATTATTCTGAACTTGTTTGTAGTTACCATATTTTTCTCTCTCTCTCTCTTACACGTTTCCTCATACTGGCTTCTGATCAAGAGTTACAATTGATAGAAATCTTTCCATGATGTAAAACTTGGGGAGATCCATGTTTGTGGAACGCACATTCCCAAACAATAGTTCTGAGCAAGGGAAATAACTAAAAATGCATCTGTTGATTCTGTTTGTGGAGGCCCTTCTGTACATGTCATCCGATTTAAAATATCTTTTGAAATGTTCTCTTTTCCCTCCCCTCTAGGCTAGGAATCTCTAGACGTTACTATATTATTCAGTGTGAAATCCTGTGCACAAAGCCATACTTGTGGCAGAATTTTTAGTTGATAACACTCCAAGAACACTTCTCACAGTGTTTCACTGAGATGTGATGTGAGATGACAGTAGATAGGAAATCTTTGAAACAGAAATAGCTTGATTTTCTTCCAGACTAGTCTGATAAGGACATATTTAATAAAAAGCTGCTGCTAACACTTTCAGGCTGTCAGAACTGAGCACATATTGGGCCTTCAATAAGTGCATCACGCATATGATATAAATGTAATTAGTTCTGCAAAAGTAGCTATTATTGTTCCTGCATGACTTTCTCAGGCTTCTAATATGCTAACCTATACTGAAGGTATTGTACCTGTTTAAGAGACAGAGCCAAATGCTATGCCAAGAGGAAGATTGGAATGTCTGTTTATGATGCATATAATGCTCAGACAGGTGACTAGGTTATTTATGTGATATACAAAGTCATTAATTCCTTTCTTGTTGAAGGTTGCAGATTTCTCTGTGACATCTCATTGTCTTGCCATCTATTTTGTAGTAATTCTTCTCAGTTTGATCCTTTTAGGGAAGTATACTATTCTGATACATGAAGGCTTGGTATATAAGGAAACACATTTTTGTATTCTTCTTATAATCATTTTTAATATGCTTCTATTCAAAGTAATAAATCCTAGAATGAATTGATGAAATTATCCAGGTTGATATTGTTCCTGAACCTGATAAAATATATGAATAATTGAATATTTGATTCTTTGAAAAGTATCTGTAGAAATTATTGTAGAAATATTTAGGCTAGCAAGAGAACTTCTTAGATTTGAGATCAAGTTTTATCCCTATTTTAGATATTCTTGACAAACTATATGGGAAATGAATGTGACTTTGGTTTAATACATGCTTAGTACTGGTTTTATTAATTTTTATAATTATAAAATATGATGGCACTAAAACAGTTGTGTTCATTTGTCCATTCATAAGGTCTTTGTTCGCTAAGTTATAGCATGAAAGTCAGGAACTGTGCGGAGGTTTTTTTCTGTATCCTTAACAGTAAGCACAGAGTTAGATAGGAAGAACAGCAAAGAACCTTACAGGCTGGAACAGTAACAGGGAAAATAACAAAAACAAAGAGAAGATGCTGTTCTTAATTCATAAAAATTGGTGCTCAGCTGGGTGCTGGTGGCTCAGGTCTGTAAATCCTAGCTATTCAGGAGGTTGAGATTTGAGGATCATGATTCAAAGCCAGCCCAGGCAGAAAAGTCCAGGAGATGCCTTATCTTTAAAAAGCTATGACTCAAGTGGTAGAGCACCTGTCTCGAGAAAGCTAAGGAACAGAACCCAGTGCTGAGTTAAAGCCCCAATACCAGTGGGTGCGCGCGCACGCGTGCATACACACACACACACACACACACACACACACACACACACACACACACACACACACACACACACACAGAGGAATGCTCAGAGCATTTGAGATCAGACTCAAGATCCACATTTAGGAAGAGGCAGAATTTAGAAAGTTCACTTTTAGGGTTTACTTATACAGATACTGGTTCTACTTCCTTTTTAAAAATGTAATTTGCCTGTCACAAAATATGTTACTGTACAGTTCTGTGATTTTTGACAAAGGCCACTGTGAAGGTTAGGAAAAACAGTTATTTTGTCCAAGAATTCCCCTCCATATTTTTCCTGTCAATCCTTTTTCCTGTCTCTAGCTCCTGGAAAATATTAACATATTATCAGAATCAATTCTTTTGTCATTTTGACATTCCAGAAAGTCATATAAGTGGAATAATGTCATTTTTAGACTTTGGTTTTTTCACTTATAAGGTAGTTGAGAGTCATCTTGGTGATTGTGTATTTCTATACTTTGCTCTAGTTATTGTTGAATAGTGTTCCATTGGCTGAATGGACTACTGTTTTTTTTTAATTAATTGCTCTGTAAGTTAGGAGGTATTTGAGGTGTCTTATTTCTTTGTACTTTCCAACATCAGTGTCCATTATTTCTTTTTCTTGACTGATTACTCTATTATCATATCAAATAATAGTGATGACAATGGAAATACTTGCCTTGATTGTGAACTTAGTGTAAACACTTTCTGTCTTTCATTATTATGTAGTAATTAGACATGGGTTTCTAGGTACAGTTGTCAACAAAGTTGTATGTTGAAGAAGTTTCCTGCTATTCCAGTTAGCTGAGCTTTTATCAAAAGAAGTTGTTTGGTTCAATGTTACTTTGCATCAATTGAGATGATCCTATGATTCTTCTACTTTAGGGTTTTTATTTTTATTTTTCTGGTTCTGGGGCTCAAACTTAGGGCCTCTACACTGTCCCGAGGCTGTTCAAGGCTAGTGTTCTACCACTTGAGCCACAGCACCACTTCTGGCTTTTTGTGAGAATTTTATTGGAGATAGGACTCTCTCAAACTTTCTTGCCTGAGCTGGCTTCAAACCACCATCTGTAGATCTAGTCTTCTTAGTAGCTAGGATTACAGGTGTGAGCCACCAGTACCTGGATTACTTTAGTATTTTTCAATGAGTTATACTGGCTAATTTGGAATGTGTAGCCAGTCTAGTATAGCTTGAATGAAATGCACTTGGTCATGGTGTATTATCATTTTCATGTATTGATGAATTTCAGTTTTGTTCATGTATTGTCATCAGTGACACAGGTCTGCAGGGTTTGATTTTATTTATTTTGCAGTGATGTGAATCAATCCCAGGGTAGGCAATGCTCTACCATTTGACTATCTTACTGTATTTTCTTCTGATTTTGGTATCTGAGTGTTGACGTTATAAAATAAGTGACAAAGTCTTCTTCCTTTCTCTCAGTCCAAACTATAGGAATTATTCTCTAATTCTATGAAGAATAACTATTGTTGTTTAATGTTTGCTGCAATTTTTCTGTGAAGTTAGGTCTTTGGGATTTTTTGTAGAAAGATTTTAAATTAAAATTCAATTTCTTCAATAGATGTAAGATTGGATGAGTTTTTCCTAAGTGCTTTTGTCATTTTGTTATTTTTCAAGAATTTTTTTTTCATTTCATGTTGAATTTATGAATATACTATTTTCTTACAATCCTTTTATTGTTTATCAGATTTATAATGATTTTTTCTTTATTTAAATGAGTTCATTAACTTCCAAATCTTGATAAAATTTGAGGTTTTCTGTGGGATTGATTTAAAATTTAATCTCATTATCACCCAAGCATACTTGGTATTGTTTTGTGTTTTTTAAAAATTAATAATTAAAATCATATTTAGGGTAATAAAACAAACCTTAAACAATGTTGTCATTTAAAAAATGTTCCCAATAAAAAATAAGGTTTGTACTATTACACTGAATATGACTTTACTTATTAAATATTTCATGTGCAAGTAACAAGACTATGACAACCTTGTTTGAGGGCTGTTTTTCAAAATTTCAAATAATTGTTTGGTCTATGGATTTTTTTAACCTACCAATTATGTTATATTGATTAGTAGAGAAGAATATTGAGGTCATTAGCTCTAATTGTGGTTTGGCTATTTTCTTTCATTTCTATCAGTTTTTGTTTAATGTATTCTGAACCTCTGTTGTTAGGTCCATACATTAGAAATATATGTCTTCTTGGTAAAATTATCTCTTTGTTATTATATGATGGACCATTTTTATCTCTAGTAAATCTTTTTATCCTAACCTCTTCTTTGACATTAGTATGAATACTCCATTTTTTCTTAGTGTGGCATAATTATTATTATTTTATTCTTCAGAGTAATGACATCACAACTTTTCTTTGGCAAAATACTTGTTACTTTTCTTAAACTATTTTTATTTGCCTTCATTTATTCAACTTGAGGCAACCTTGCTCTTAACATATCTTATAAATTATCTCAGGTTTTATTTGTCTGAAACCATCTTCCATTTATTTAAAAAGACTTATCTAGGTATAATTTTCTGGGTTGAGAGTTATTTTCTTTTAGGACTTTAAGGCATCCCACTGTTTTGTAGTTGGCATAATTTTCACGGAACAACTGATATAATCTTACATCTCATTTTCTGCAAATAATATGCCTTTTTGTCCACTTTCAAGATTTTTCTGTATCATTTGTTTTCAGCCATATGGTATGTGTAGTGTGTGTGTGTGTGTGTGTGTGTGTGTGTGTGTGTTGTGCACACATGTGTGTTGCGGAAGTTTGGTGTTTTTTTTAAGCTTCTTGAGCTTCATTTAAAAAATTCTTGGCTACTATCACTTCAAATATTTCCATATTTCTTCTACTGCTTTTGGCTCCCCATTCTGTTTTACTCAGTTTTACTGTTAGTTGTTTTATTCCACAGCTCTTGTATTTTTTGGTTTTGGGTTTTTTGTTTTTTGTTTTGTCAGTCATGGGGCTTGAACTCAGGGTCTTGGCTCTGTTCCTGAGCCTTTTCACTCAAAGCTAGCACTCTACCCTTTGTATTTTTTTCATAGCTCTCTCCCTTTTTTCCTTTGAGTTTCCATTCTCAGATTTACTGATATTTTCTTTTGTTATTTCAAGTCTACTGATTAGTCCATCAAAAGCATTCTTCATTTCTGCTACCATATTTTTATTCCTAAAATTATAATTTTAAAAAATAGTTTTAATTTTTCTACTGAAACTCTGTTACTTCACGTATGCCA